CATCAGTGAGCCTTGCCATTCTCCGCACCAAGATACGAACTCGTCAAAGAGACAAGTCAGATGCTGGGAATCATGAAAACTACTATAGAAGACCACTTCGGACTAGGTGCGTTCTACATGGTCTCCTTGAAAACAAGACCAAGTTGCGACAACGAGATCAACCCACTTCTATCAATCGAAAGGGGACTGCGACCACACCAGAGGCCACAACATCTTGGTCTTTATATATTCTAGTAAAATATAGCTTGTTACTTTATTTTTATTAATCGATTATTCTACAAAATGACTGGTTAACTAGAGTAACTTTCATTCATTATGCCTTATTCAGTAATTTAAACTGTAAGCTGCTAGTGTAATAGCTTTAAGGGCAACCTGATTTTTAGTATTATATCTACTTTGACTCTTTACTTACAAGGTGTCCCCGTCACTACAACTTTGAAGAACGAGTTCATACAAACTCAATATAGCTAAAGAAGACTGCGATCAAACCTAAGGCTACATTTTCTTGGTCTTTATCTCTACGATCTGTCAATTTGTTTTATTTAGAGTTCTCCTATTATCACTTTATTTTTTGTCTAAAATTATCTTTATTAAATATCTCTTTCAAAAATGTTATTTTAATAATTTTAATAATTAGTTTTTTTAATTACCATATTTGGCTACTGTCTATTCCAACTAGGGTTGCAAATGCAATGGTCTTATACTTTAACCTTTTAAAATAAGTGAAATTCTCGATTCTTTTTATTCTTTCTCCTTTGACCACTTCTTTTTAGTATGCAAAGGGGCCCAACACGCTCTAAATAAATCTTTTAATTATATGCTTGCGGCATTATATCACAATCCATTATTCACTTTAAAAACAAAGTATTTCAGCTTCGCATTTTTGTGATAGTGACAGCTTAGCTTTTTGCATCCATTATTCACCGAGTTGTAAGCCTTTTCTATAATTCGACCTTTCTTTTTTTTCTTGTAATAGGCATCTCCTGGGCTAATGCTGCCAACTGCTTCATCGGCTGCCTCATCTTCCTCTGCAGCCGCCGCTGCAGCTGCAGCTGCTGCTGCGGCTGCTGCTGCAGCAGCTGGCTATTCACCCTCGGCCGGACACTATGCGCACAACTCTGCCGGGGCTGGGTCAACACAGACGGGGTATTCGCCTTTCGCCTATCCGACTTGCCCGGTTGTCTCTGGCTACTCTTCCCTTGCAACAGCTAATCGAAGATCTAGTAGCAACAGTAGCAATGTATCTGCTACAGCTGTCTTTCCAGAGGCCGGGCAAGCCAGCGTCGGCTCAGGTCTGTCGCAACGGAGAGCAGATTCTGGTGGTACAGCAGTTATGGGTAGTGCTGTACCAACTGATACGGCCTCCATTGGCTGGTCTAGAGGTTCTGAGACAAACTTGAGCCATTCTCGTGCCACTTACCCTGGTCTTGGTTCATCACTGGATACGACCTCCAGTACACTCTCGGATTCTCGATTAGGACCTACAAATCAACCATATGGGTCTAGCTCTTCCACTTCTCATGTTGATTCATCATCGGTCACTTCTGCTACCTCTCCTGCCACAACCTCCGGCTATCTCCTTGGCCATGACACTGCCATTTCTTCTATATCCCTTGCTCATACCGCCCACCACCCAACAGTATCTCAGCATCATCATCCGACGCCCTACAATGCCGCTCAACACCATCAGCACCAGACAGGCTCAAGCGCCGCACAGCCCGGTACTGGAGCTAATGCAGCTGACTATCCTGCCAGCTCGATGTTGGCCTCAATGCCTGCGGCTGCCCTGGCCCAAGCCGTCTACTACCGAGCAGCGAGCCTAGCTGCTAGTCAGCAACAGGCCGCTGCTGCGGCCGCTGCTGCTTATTATTACAACACGCAACAACAACAGCAGCAGCAACAGCTGCCTGCCTCCCAACAACACCATCCTCGCCAGTCACAGCAAATGCACTCTGCTCCATCTTTCCCTCCAAAGATATAGTCTCTTCAATAATCGCCAACTTTTAAGTGATGCAACTTTAACGTCTTAATTTAACTAACCACTTAATGTCTTCTTATCGTGCAGAGTGCTGTTCTTCATATTTAACTCTCTCTCCCTTCATATCTTACTTCCCTTTAAAGCTATCTTTGCGTTTTTTACACTCGTTCAGTTTACTCTTCGATCCTTCCATTTACCTATTTGTTCTCTCTATATGTCTTATTATTCCCGGACTTTACCTTGATTTTTCCTCATAAGTTTGCATTTAGCTTTCTTTGACGTTCTCAATGATCTCATTCGCTTTAAATTGTCTCAAACACTACCTATGTTCACAAACAAGAGAGTATTCTATTTTTGTCGATTTTTCTCCCATATTTTAGTTTCCCAAATAGTCTTTATTTGTTCAGACTCGCCAGTAATGCCTTGGTCACCTTCGATCAGCTTTATGCGATACTCTTTGACTCTGGCGCTAATCTGTCTTTTCTATGTGAATTTTTGATCTCTTGCTAAACTTATTTAGATCATTCATAATCGACAATCTATACACTAATTTGGGTCCTATTGCCTAGAGAGTTACTGCCAGCTCAATTGCGTTTTAGATAAATTCTTACTAATCATTAACGGATTTCAACTTAATTGTTTTGAAACGAATTGAATTTGACCCGCCGACTTCTTCACAATCTACATGACCTTTCTCCAGTGCCTTGGGCTCTAGTAAACACTACCTGCAGTTCCCTAATTTTCTTCTTCTCCATCATGAATTTAGACACGTTATAAGATCTTGAAGTTATATTCCTCATATGAGCATATTATCTCACACAATTGTTTAGCTTTTCATGGAGCAATGAAATACTATATATTAACTTTTTACGACCTCGGCCCTTCGTTTGGGCCGATGAGCTCCACTAGGCCCCCGAATACCTATATATTAAGAAATTTTTTGAGACAAAGCTTGGATTCGAAAATGACTTGCAGCTGTAATGTGTCACCACCACGGTGACTCGATCCGTAAGCATTTTGTTCTCAAATTACCCCAATAAACGTGCAAACGCAACCACCAATTTATCTATACTTTGAGGATTTATCTAATATTGGAATATGCCTTTTTTATAATTTTTATATATGTAGAAGTGACTATTTTCCTCTTAATTATGATTTATATTGTATTTTTTAGCCGTTCATTTTAACACTGCATCCTGACCTCTTTATATAGCCAAGTGAGTGGCGATTTCACAACTGAACAGAGATTTGCACCAAACGCAATTTCTTTTTCCTACTTTTCCATTCGGAGCCATTAAATTCGTTCCGCCCTATGTGTTTATCAATGAAATATTTCTCTGCAATTTGTCTCCTTGAATTTAAGAACATTTCGACGTCTGGATAATTCGACTGGATCTTTATTTTTATCTAATATTTACTGTTCCGACAAGACACGCAATTTCTTATTTCTCTTATTCCCAGATCTCAAAGTGCCTTTTGGTTGTCCTTCATTTATTATTACGACCATTTTCCCTACCCTCTGAGCTCATGGATTGCGTCAGGCTTTGGGGCCTCTACTTTTTAAACATCCATTTTATATTGCCTGTTTGCTCTTGGTGTCCACATCGCCTGTTTGTTTTTGGCTATATTCAAACTTCGCGCGACTTTGCTCTGTGGGTTTAGTTTTTACTGCCCTGAGCAATTTGTTCTTCGTTCTAACACCTTTTTCATTGTCAATCTCAAGGAAATTGATGGATCTTGTTTTTCAGAGAAAACTTTAAATGAAACAATTCATTTCAACGAACTCGGTTTATCTGTTCTCTTTGGAAAACTACTAATAGATCACCTTTTCAAAGCACATCAAGAGTAAAGAGTTTTTCATACGATAACAACATACGAGATAGGCCTTCTCGTTTTTAGATTTTTCTTCATATGTCTATGTCTATTTGTGTCTACGTAAATTCGCTCGAGATTTGTACACCGTTTCTGCCAAACCCATCAAGATAATTCAATTTTCGCATGGCTTGTGTCCATTACGAAAACCTATTTTTTCCACGCTTTTTTAAGATGTTATTTTCCGTGTATTCTTTTAGCTGGAAACTTTTGTATATACTACTTGCTAAGATGTGGAAATAAATTCCCAAAATTTACTTTATTTCTTCTGTGTTTTTTCAACGAGGAACTAAGCTAATATTAATTAACGCATAGGGATCACATGGTTACTGTTAAAAGCATATTCTATAACCGACCACAACAAATAAGATATTTTGTTATTTTGCATTTCTACCATCACGACAAATTCTTTCCATATTCCTCATTGATCTCTGCACAGCATGCTGGTATTATAAAAAAATTTGTAATTTTGAATAGGATCCTCTTGCTCAAATAGCGTATTAGCAAAATTTGGTTCCTGCATCTTTTATTTTCCGGCATAAGCTTTTAGGGCATTGAGTAGCTCGATGTCGAGGGGAGTCTGTCTCTTCTAAAATCACATTTCTTGTGTCGGTTTGGGTAAATGGCTACTTCTAGGTCTTTTAAGAAAGCTATTGTCCTTGGGAAAAGTTTTATTCTACTGGAATTTAGATTAACTTATTTGCGGCTTATATAAACTGATGAATTGGTTCATACTGCAGCCTGTATGCTGCACCGCCTGACTAACTGTATTATCTATAGACAAATTCGGTAGAGAAGCGCGATAAGCAATTATCTTTTTTATGTCGTAATACCAAACAATTGATCTGGCTGTCTAGCCCATCTCTAGATGAACGCTTAGCTAGGGTTGCCGGTACTTCCTTGTCAACTTGTGTTGGCCTGCATCGCGTATCCTCTTGTCAGTTGAGTTAGAAGCTCGCCATCCAACCTACCCTATCTATATATGATATCATACACAAGGGTACATTGACGTCGAGAATATCGGCGAACACTTCGAGATTGTCAGGCTGACATCTCAACGATGAATTAAGGAACATTATAAATTTATATTTACAGAGGGTTGTTGGTATTTATGCTTAACTTTAATGGCCTGTCAGTTGGGCGGACCTTCAAAATTAGGAGAAAGCACCACTACATTTGATTTATTTGAAATTTTTGTTCTCAAGGCTATATAAACGAAATCCATCTGAGTTTTAGATTTCTTTGCGTCATCAACAACTTCGGAGACGGATATTTCCTTAAAAAACGCATAATTTGATACCAAAATACGGTCATTACGTTTTTAGTGGATGACACTACGAGGCCGGCAGCAGTATGTTAGATACCGTGAAAGCGAAGCATTATATCTGTTGCATCCTCCCTAGCTCTTCCGGTTCTGTTGTACGCTTTTTGTTGCTTGAAGGAACAGTTTGGAGGGTAGTCCATATTTGGAGAATTCTGAGACCGTTCCGGCCATAGCGATAAATGAGGAATGATGCGCAGGCCTATACTATTATATAATAAGTCCCGAAAATGTCTTAGGCTATAAGATTGGTTGGTATACAATCAGCACTGAGTCACTAGCCCTGGTCTTGACGAACTAGGGTGGCCAAGCTAAGCTTTTGCTAAGACAGCATGCACGCAAGCTCTTCTGCTAAAACGGACCGTCCGTTGTGTCCCTTTTTACTTTTGATTTGAATGTACAAACGACCAAGATAAGTCCGAGGGATATACATTTTTATCCAGGAACATCGTGAATTTCTTTACGCAACTGCCATTTATTGAAGTTGTATGACTTTGTTTTCTCAACTTGGTCATATTGGCATAAAGACCTGGAGGAACGCACCTTGTCCGGAGTCCATAGTATGCGTGATTATTTCCAGGGTTGGACTGACGAGTTGGTACATTTCCAGACATTTTGCCGACAGCTCCAGAAAGCCTTGCCATTCTTAGCACCACACTGCAACTCGTCAAAGAGCCTTTGGTGTTCCTTGATTCTTATGCTCATTTTTCTCCCTGTTTCGCCAATATATTTCTGATTGTAGGCGCCGCATGCTTGGCAGAAAGTTGGTCACTTGTCTCTTATGCGCTGTAGAGTTGTGTTAATACTAGCAAGGCTTATTCGCTGTACCGACTACGATGCCGGCGAAACGTCTGGGAATATACCAAGTCCTCGGTCCGACGAAACTATCATGTATACCATGGGCAGGATGAGTTTCTCTTGGTCGTTGTGACAATACGATCAAGTTGCGAAAATATGGGTAAACAATTTCTATACAACGAAAAGAGACCCTGACCATACCAAAGAACACACTATCTTGGTCTTCATACCTTACAGTGCAATTTATTCCTTGTGAAACCTTCCTTAAGTTGCATTCTAGGAGAAAGATATCCTTTTTAGATCACTTTGTCATTTTAATATCCCCTATTCCAGCACACTAATTTTGAACCAAATAGGAGTAGAAACCAAAGGTAAGGACATGCATTTAATTTTTTTAACGTTTTTTCACTTAGTCACGATGGGTTGTGTGCTCAATCCAGAAACACGAATATGCATCTGCCAAATACAGGACCTCAATGGCCTGGAACTTATAACTGCTTATAATGATCCAAGTACCGATAACATATGTTGAAGTTTAAATTAAGAAGATATGAAGACCAAGATGTTGTGGCCTCTGGTATGGTCGCTGCCCATACAGTGACAACACAATGAAGCGGAAGATAAGGGAGGCCATTTACATCCTTGGGGAGAAAAATTGAATGAACAGGAGATTGGAGGAGGGTAGAGTTAGCGATAACTCTGCCTATTGCCTAAGCAAGACCAGCAAAAAGGAGACGCCTGGTTAAAGGATCTAGTGCTAACCTTGGGGAAAAGGGATCGCGATGAAAAAGTGGGGGGCAGGGGTTTTCTGCAATAAAGCGAAGACGTTGTCAGTGCGTGATGTCCGTTTCGAATAAACCAGTACAACTTTGGGAGCCTGGCAGTCAGGGGGCTAGGTGGACGGATAAGCAAACCGTTACGGAAATTCGGCGTTATGCCCAAAATGCACTAGAAATCCACTTGAGATGCCGCATATGACCAGAGATAGACGTCCACAGTTTGCTCCGATAAC